TCTTATTTTCAATTTTCACCCTTGTCAATCAAATTCTTCCGCACTTCCTCAGAGGATGCTTCTTATTTGACAAGCCACCAAAAGAGAGAGGAACATTATGCAACTCGACTTGCAATATATGAAGAGCGTTTGCTCGACTATCATGTAAAGAAATCTTGGGGGAATCAGCCTATTGTTAAATCGAAGGCATATTTGAATTCCTCTCCCTTGCAGATCACTTAAACTCTGAGACTGTTCTTCTGTTTGGCTAGAGTTATAATAGAATTTACTCTAAGCTTGTTGACAACTGCAGGTGGTAAGTCCAAATTTTCTTTCGGTTTCCAGTCACGCAAGGAAGATCTGCCATTAGTTGTCAGTCATAAGAATGAGAATGGGACATCTTTGGACAATATTCCATTATCGGTTCAACTCAATGCTGCAGCTGACAGAGACATGAACAAATGAATTGCTGATACCTGGTGCGTTTTTCATTGAAAAGAAATAGAACAGACAGAGATTCTCGCACACAGAGTACCATCAGAACTGGCCGCTAACCATGTTTCTAAAAAGCATTCGATGACTGAATTTCTGGACTGCTTTAAGGAGAGGTGTAGTCTTCTGCAAGGAAGTTCTGGAATGGTTAGTTTTCTTCTTTAACTTTCTTTTATTTTGTAGTTCTATATTAAAGATTTAATTTTGTATTTTATCTAGGATTTTGGGAAAAGAGGAAGAAACCCACAGATTGTTCTAAATAGAAATCCATCTTCATTGGGTGATGGAAGCATGGATAATGATGACCTACCTGAAGTTTCAGATAGTCGACCGTCCAGTGAAGATGAGGTATTTCCCTGATGAACGGTCCTTTAGCAGTTCCGATTCTTGTGCTTGACTGCATTTAATTTGCCCTTTATTTTACTATAATGATTAAAAAGAGGGAGCTTTTCTTTGGATAGACTTCTAAATTCCAGCTTGTAACTAATAAGAGTGTCTGTATTCATCTCTGAAATTTATGGATCGTAACACCCTACAACTTATAATTGGATTTTCATTCTTTTTCTTAAGGTCTTCAACTTTCAATTTATCATTGAATAATACTGCCACGATATGATAAACTTCATCCAGATCATACATATATCATATACGCATATTTAGATCTTCTCTCGTTTTTAATCTGTTAGAAGATTTTGTTCACAAAATGTCAGCTATTAGGAATAAATAATATTAACTATGGGCATGTAACGGTTACAATTCCTGAAAAACAGTTGATTATTAGCTATTATTTTAATGAGACTGCCGATTGCAGTTATGTTTATAGTATCACTTTACTCTGTTCTTGCGTTCTACCTTTTATGGGTCAACATCACATTTTTGTGTCATCTTCCAGTTCAGAAATAGGGATGACAAAAAAATCCGACAAACACGATATCTGCGGGGCCCCGTCCCGAACGAGGCGGGAATAACCCTCTTAATCGGGTAATGGGGCGGGGAATTTTGCCCCGAGGCGGGGACGGGTAACTGCCGCCCCGCCCCGCCCCGTTAATTTTTTTTTTTTTAAGAATTCAATATTTTAAATGAAAATTTTTTTTAGTTCTAATAGAAAATAGCAAATTATTTATCTAAATCTAATGAAAAAAAAAATTAAACGGCTAATAAACGGGAAAAGGACCCACCCCCGCCCGTGCTGAAAAATTTCTGTCGTAGAAAGTGTCTTATGTAAACTCGACTTACTTTTAAGGAGGACCTTTATAACTTGACTGTTTATTGAGTCTACATTTGATTAATTTTTCAGAATCAATTAAGATTATAGACCGGTCCTTGAACTTCTTATATTCCATTTTCAATGTATAATAATTATTCTTATTATGGTCATACATACGAATGTTTTGGTTCCTAGTTGATTGATTCTTTGTCTTTAGATATAACCACACGTTATGGTTCTACAATTTATTTATTCTCTGTCACTCTCTCTAAAAAAAATAAAAAATCATATTACATTTTATGACACAAAAAAGTTAGTAAAGAATTCATCATACATGTAATTTATTACAGCCCTTTTAATATTAATTTATTATTTAAATAAATGGTCTCAAATTCTGAGGGAAAGCGTCGTCCTTAACTAACGTGTCCTCAAAGCAACGCATCAACACTGTTATAAAATGCCCTTGATCGTACCAGTAATACAAAGAGAAAATTGTAGTTGGGACCCCAAACTTTGAGAAAGATAATACTTAGGTCTTCGTTAAAATCTATTGACTTGTACATTATTATACTTTCAATTTTAATGAACAACTTGTCTATTTTATCATCAAACCTCACGTGCCTTGCTCGTACTTTCCCCTTGTTTCTTCTACCTTTTTTTTTTTTGGTGAGAAATAAAGATGATTTATTATAAATGTCATATGCTACCTTAAAATCAAACATACCTTTAAAATAAAATGCCATATACTACCTTAAAAACAAAATAAATATATTTGTTTAACAAGAGACATAAATTCTGTGTAAGCTACGAGCTGGTGAAACGTGCTTACGAGCCTAAAATTATCAAAACACGTTTTACTAAAAAAATAGATGGCTTAATTTTTCTTAAAAAGCAAGGCAAAAAACAAGTGTANTTATAATTTAATACTTTAAATGAAATTTTTATTAGTTTTAATAGAAAATAGCAAATTATTTATCTAAATCTAATGAAAAAAAAAAAAATTAAACGGCTAATAAACGGGAAAAGGACCCACCCCCGCCCGTTCTGTCGTAGAAAGTGTCTTATGTAAACTCGACTTACTTTTAAGGACGACCTTTATAACTTGACTGTTTATTGAGTCTACATTTGATTAATTTTTCAGAATCAATTAAGATTATAGACCGGTGCTTGAACTTCTTATATTCCATTTTCAATGTATAATAATTATTCTTATTATGGTCATACATACGAATGTTTTGGTTCCTAGTGATTGATTCTTTGTCTTTAGATATAACCACACGTTATGGTTCTACAATTTATTTATTCTCTGTCACTCTCTCTAAAAAAAATAAAAAATCACATTTTACATTTTATGACACGAAAAAGTTAGTAAAGAATTCATCATACATGTAATTTATTACTGCCCTTTTAATATTAATTTATTATTTAAATAAATGGTCTCAAATTCTGAGGGAAAGCGTCGTCCTTCACTAACGTGTTCTCAAAGCAACGCATCAACACTGTTATAAAATGCCCTTGATCGTACCAGTAATACAAGAGAAAATTGTAGTTGGGACCCCAAACTTTGAGAAAGATAATACTTAGGTCTTCGTTAAATTCTATTGACTTGTACATTATTTATACTTTCAATTTTAATGAACAACTCGTCTATTTTATCATCAAACCTCACGTGCCTTGCTCGTACTTTCCCTTGTTTCTTCTACCTTTATTTTTTGGTGAGAAATAAAGATGATTGACTATAAATGTCATATGCTACCTTAAAATCAAACATACCTTTAAAATAAAATGCCATATACTACCTTAAAAACAAAATAAATATATTCGTTTAACAAGAGACATAAATTCTGAGTAAGCTACGAGCTGGTGAAACATGCTTACGAGCCTAAAATTATCAAAACACGTTTTACTAAAAAAATAGATGGCTTAATTTTTCTTGAAAAGCAAGGCAAAAAACAAGTGTANAATTCTGAGTATGCTACGAGCTGGTGAAACATGCTTACGAGCCTTAAATTATCAAAACACGTTTGACTAAAAAAATAGATGTCGAAATTTATCTTGAAAAGCTAGGCAAAAAACAAGTGTATATATACATACTTTATGTGGTTTTATTTGTAACTTTGACTTAGAGATTTGTCATTTCTCTCATATTATAGCATTTTCAAGAGGCACTTTCATTAAAAATTTTGGTGGATAATTTTTAAACCCCCTGTTTGTATTTAAAAATCATTAAATTCCTGTTTTGTGGAGAATTTTTTAAATCTATTTTATCAAAAAATCAATTTTTTTAACCACACATTTTCTTAATAAAATAATTTTGCACTTAAATTCGTCATTTGTTTCTACTTTTTAATCACACATTCTCTCAAAATTTTCACTTTTCACAAAATATATGCTCAAAAATATGCATCAAACAGGTTTTAAACAACATATAGGATAATTTAATAATTTGTTATATTGATTTGCTTAAAACGAGTTAACATTTTTTACTTATAAGATACTTATATAACATGTATACTTTTTTTTTTTTAATAAGATGTTTATATGAGCCCACTCAAACATGTGCACCGAAATAGAGAGTTTGGATATATATGCATATGCCATAAAAAATTGATCAGGGACCAAAATTTGTGTCGTTTTGAATTTGAAGACCACAACTGTAATTTTTGCTGCAAAATCTTCTCCTAGGTCATGATTGTAAATTGACCCGAGCATCACTTACAAACCCTAACCATTCTTTAAAATTCTGTTCTAAATCCACCCTTCACATTTCCAAAAATTCCACTCATTCTCCATGGCAGCTATCCCCCATCCGAACCCGAACCCGAACCCGAATTTCCTCTCACCCATGCTCCAGCCTTACCTTGAACAGCAGCAACAATTTCCACCCGACCCGCCGGATGAAGAAACTGCCAATGAAACCGCTAACGAAAGTCACATGTCTTTTACGAATAATTCAATTGTCTCAAATCCGAATTCGAATCAGGGTTTGATTGATCGGTCGACGCCGGCACTCCTCCATGTGTCGTTCAATCAGGACTATGGCTGCTTTGCTGCTGGCATCGATCGCGGGTTCCGTATATACAATTGCGATCCCTTTCGCGAGATCTTTCGACGGGATTTTGATGGTAATGGTGGAATCGGGGCAGTTGAGATGCTATTCCGTTGTAATATCCTTGCCCTTGTCGGCGGTGGCGATTCTCCTCAGTATCCGCTTAATAAGGTTATGATCTGGGATGATCATCAGAGTCGGTGTATCGGGGAGCTTTCGTTTAGGTCGGAGGTTCGTGGGGTTCGATTGAGGAGGGACCGGATTGTGGTCGTCCTTGAGCAGAAGATATTTGTGTATAATTTTGCGGATTTGAAGCTGTTGCATCAGATTGAGACTATTGCGAACCCTAAGGGGCTATGTGCGGTGTCGCACGTGGCTGGATCATTTGTGTTGGTGTGTCCTGGGCTGCAGAAGGGACAAGTTAGGGTGGAGCATTATGCCTCGAAGAGGACTAAGTTTGTTATGGCTCATGATTCGAGGATTGCATGCTTTACGCTATCTCAAGATGGGAATTTACTTGCCACTGCCAGCACAAAGGGTACTCTGGTTCGAATTTTCAATACACATGATGGGACTTTAGTACAGGAGGTAACTTTTTGTTCACAAGTTTGATGCCTTTGGTGCTTATGTGCTTAACTTGAGTTCTTGCTATGGCTTAATTTGTTGGATGATCAGATTGCTTTAAGAATTTGTTGCTGCAGAAAATGTACTCTTTATAAATCATAAGATATATAAAAAGGATCGAGTTATTTTGGGGGAAGCAAAGCTTAATTGCTGTTGTTAATGAAAATGTTTTTGTAAGATGGTTGTGGAACATGGATTAATGTGATATCTATGCCTGTGATTTCTCTCTTCAAAAATAAATAAATAAACAAGAGTTTGTGTATATTTTAGGCGATTTATATGTCAAGACGGTCTAGATTCTTCTTCTTGCTTAGGAGTGAACTATGGTGGGAGGGGTTTGTAAAGTATTTTGCTACTTATGAGCTGATATGGTTCCTTGTTCTTATAGGAGGGAGTAAGATTGTGCTTTAATATATTTCTATTAGTTTCAATATGTCATTCTCCATGGTAAATTTTCAGTAGGAGTGAATGTGGTTGTACCATTAATTGTGATCAATGGTGCGGATGTGGAGCTTGCATTGTTTGATTGATCGATTATGTCCCTGTATCTTAAAACTTCGAATTGGAGTTCTGTCCTCTTGTTGGTTCTCATTCTGGCGTCAATACTTGCAAAACTTTACTAAATTCTTTTTTTGTGTTTGTTGGTGTAGAATTGTGGCCGTGGAATTGGAATCTTTAGAAAAAATCAAATCAAATTTGAACCATCGATTCAAGTGTTGCTTCATGATGCATTGCAATTAGTAAATCTTAATCTAACTGCTGTTAGTTCATCCATCATTTTGTAGATAGGCAAGGATTGTACCAAATCCTTTCTAAGGGTACATCTAAATGTGCATTGAAACAAACTGATATATCATGACGTTTCAATAAAAATTTTCCACCCCATTTGATCTAGAGGCCTCCTAAGATTTAGTATTTTCAAACTTGTAAGATCTTATCATTTTTGTTCTTCCTCTTGTAAGCTGGTCTATTGGGAGGGATCATGTCACTCTTGCGAAATCTGAGATTGTTAGGATTCAAACTGTCGCGGCCTTGACTATAGAGCTCACTTCTAAAGCTTTTTGTAATATCCAACCCATGAAAGAAAGAAAAACTAGGTTGCTTGGAAGTTTTTTACAATGTTCATCATAAAGCTATAGGAGAGGGAGAGGGGGTCGGTACTATCAGGGTAGAATTTTGGATTTCCATTTACTGACGTTCTATTATCTAAAAGCATGTTTGGGAATTGTTTTTAATTAGGGAAAATTATAAATAGATAGAAATGAGTGGTGGATAGGAGGGCATACTTGTGGGTCCAACAAAATGTGCGGATACAAAGTGTTTTGATCAAATGTGTTTATAGTTTAAACACTTGCCAAACAACAGAAGTATTTGTTCTTGTTGAAGTTAACAACTCAGATTTCCAAGATCCTCTACTGCAACCGAGAGGTTGTGTTTTTGTAGTTGTTTTTCTATCCATGCCTTCTTTAAAACTTAAAATCCCTTTTGTTTTATTTGATTAAATTCTGGGGAAATCCCTTTTGTTTTATTTGATTAAATTCTGGGGAAACTAGTTTAAAAAGAAAAACCTTTCTGATTTATGCTTTTTTCTTTGACAAGTATTTGGAATGTGTCCCCTTTTGTCCTTTTCTTTGAAATGCATTTGCATGTATTCAAGTTGTGCATTAATGATATAAAGATCTCACAGAAGCCCTTGGAAATATGATGCAGGTAAGGAGGGGAGCAGACAGAGCAGAAATATACAGCCTAGCGTTTTCACCTACTGCCCATTGGCTTGCAGTTTCTAGTGATAAGGGCACTGTTCATGTTTTCAGCCTTAAGATTAATGCAGAAAACCTTGGAAATGCTAGGTCAAGCAGTCCTCCAGGTTCAAATTCTGCCGTGACTTCGCCAAGTTCATCACTCTCTTTCATTAAAGGTATAGCATATGTTTAAATCAAGCCTGAAAGTAGTACTCGCTTATCTATAACTGCATTTTAGCTTCACGTGAATTGTTATTGCTCAATAAACAGATACTTCGTAACTTATTTATAAAAGGCATCAATCATCTGATAAAGTGGGACAATAATACCGGCTGAATCCCATTTATTTGATGTAGGAGAAAAATCGAAAAAGCCTTTTCATTGATATAATAGAAACACTAGGTGAATCCATCATATACGATGGGAGATATGTAATATAACTGCTCAGAGGCGGGGTCAGATAATTTCTTGAAAGTATGTGCAATTAAGCTGTAGTTATCCTTAAGTATGCTCATTTCTGAACTATGTTTGTCGAAGATCAACTGATTGCGGAGAAGAAATTATACGTCTTTCGCATGGGATTTGTCTGGTGAAACACCTCCTTTACCCTTTTCCATTTTGGTCGTTACTATGGATAATGGATCCATTTTTTTATTTCTCGTTATAGTGTCGTGGCCAGAGTTTAGAAATTGCTTTGTAACTCTAGGTTTTCTAGTCATTCTTTCTGGGGGATGGGGTATGTGGAAGGTTTCCTTTTCTCTCTGTGGCTTTACGAACATGTGCATAGGTATAGAAGACATCCTGCCTTGCCTCAGTGTGAATGTTCAACCAGTTTTTGTTGGCCTCAAGCTTTAATTCAAATTCTTGTTGTGGCAGGAGTACTCCCCAAGTATTTTAGCTCTGAATGGTCAGTGGCTCAGTTTCGTTTAATTGAAGGTTCTCAATATATCGTTGCATTTGGTCATCAAAAGAACACGGTTGTAATTCTTGGCTTGGATGGAAGGTCAGTTAACATCACCCTAACCATATTGTTCCCTTTCCACATCTTGCATGTTTGTATCAGCAAGTGTGCCCTGAGAAAAATCATTTATTTGTTTGTGAAATTACTTGCAGTTTTTATAGGTGCAAATTTGACCCAGCAACCGGTGGAGAGATGACTCAGCTGGAATATCATAATTTCCTTAAGCCTGATGAAAGCTAGCAGAGCTCTGGATAATGTAAACCTATCCATGGTCCTGTATGCACAGTATTAATGTTTTTCTGTAGTTATCCTTTTTCCTGCTTGTTTCTTGGATCACCATTTTGTAAATATCCGAGTGTAAATTAATCGACAGTCTCAAACTGGTCAATCCATAACTACAAATATATATGTGTGTGCATGTAAAATGTATCTACTATAGCCATTTTTATCTGTATGCATCTGTGTGGGTATGGAAACACATGGAAAATAACATTCCAAGTCCAAATTCTATACATTGGACTGGACATGATTATAGAAAGGCAAAATGTATCTTTTTTCCGAACTACTTCGTGTCACAGTATAGATCATGAATTTACACCCGTATAACTTAATGAAGAGGGCAGGGATTTTGTAAAATGACACTGTAGCACAGGATGTAGTGGAGCAAATGGGAGCAAAAAGTTTGACAAAACCTGGTGCCTGCAGTTGTTCTTGGTCGAATGGAAGCTCGATAAAATGATATGAGTGTTAAATCAGTTAAAAGTTCAGAACCCGTTTATCTGCCATTGCATTGAATCATCCGAAGACAATGTGTTGTGCCTCCACGGGGCATGTCGTATTGGTAAAGTAATAGGGTTCTTTACGGAGTATTGGAGGTTCGAATTCTCGCGACAACTGAAAAACAACACTGGTGTTGGAAGGCAGATATCTTGTGTAGACAAAGTTTGTTCGCTCTATCGTCCTTTCGGAGGTCAAGTTTGCACGTCATAAAGGGAGGTCCATAGGGAGGAGAATGGCTTTCTGAATGTTTGGTTCAAGTGTGTATAAGTTGTGACCGCATTACGAACCAAAAAAGACAATAGGTTGTTCCTTAACACCAAAAGAAGAGTAACAAATCTGTCAGCCTAACAAATTGTAAAGTGCGACATCCTGATGTTCAACTTCGATTGTGCTTCTACCCAAATCCTTCTTAAATCCTCGCTCTTTCATCAATTCACGAACATTCTCCATATCATTCCATCTTCCCATTTCTGCATATGTATTAGCCAGCACAACATAATAAGCTGAATTCTCAGGCTCCAACTGCACGAGCTTCTGCGCTGCAAGCTCACTTATTTCCAGGCTTCCATGAGCTCTACCACCAGCTAGAAGAGCTCCCCAAATACTCTTAGTAGGATCAAACGGCATTCCTCTACTCATCCTTAGAGCCTCTCCCAGAAACCCTGCACGTGCCAAAAGATCAACCATACAAGCATAATGCTTGACACCAGGTGAAAACCCGTATTTTCCATTGACCAACAAAGAAAATACTTGACGACCAATGTTGACTAAATCAGAATGCACGCATGCACAAAGCACCGCGATTAAAGTCACCTCATCAGGATTAAATCCTTCGTGCTCCATCCTGAGGAACCAACTCACTGCTTCTTTGCCGCTCTTGGCTAAGGCCAGTCCTTTGATTACTGCATTCCATGTGAACAAATTCTTCTCTCCCATTTTATCGAAAACAAGCAACCCCGACTCAATTCTCCCACTCTTTCCATACATATCGATCAAAGAAGTCCCCAAGATCACGTCCAGTTCCCACCCACTCCTCTCTATATACTCATGAATCCAAACGCCCATATCCAACCCTCCTAAACCTGCACAAGCGGCCAAAGCATTCACCATAGTGACCCGATTAGGCACCACTCGTTCACCCCTCATTCTTTCAAACACAATTAATGCGTCGTCATGCTTTCCAGCTTCATTATACGCCTTGATCATAACAGTCCACGACACTACATCTTTCAGAAGCATTTCATCAAACACTTGTAAACACGAACCCATAATCCCACATGAAGCATAGAAATTCAACAGAGAATTTCCCACGTAAATATCACCCAAATGAC